GTTCTAAAGAATGCTGGAAGCTCTGTTCCTGCAAAACCATTGCAGTGGCTGGAGCAGCTGTGATGTCTGTCCTGGCTGAATTAATCATATTTAGTGTAAGAGCCTGAGGGTGCAGAGTTATTACAAGGAATCCCACAGCAAAAACCTTCCGTAAATACAGATGTGCTGGACCCAACTCGATGTCTCTTTATCACTCAAGTCTGTTGAGGTTTTCTGTGCTGTTCTTGCCTGGACAGAAGCTGCTCAGCACAGGAGATGGGCACATGGGCCCTGGTAGGAGATCAGGCTGCTGCCCTGCTCCTGCCTGTTTTCTCACCAAACCAGGAAGCTCAGAGCTCAGCAGTTTGGAGCACACCAGTGAGACCCAGCACCACCCCACTGTGGAGAACACAGAGCCAAGGGAAAGCAGGGGAGCTCTGTGTCTGGTGCAGACCCTGTCACCAGCCTTACACGGCTTATTGCAGCCAGACTGGGCTCCCAACAGGAGCATCTTCATCCTCAGCTGCATCTTCAGCTCAGTTTCGGGTCATGGATCTGAGTCTAGTGCATGGGGATCATGAGACATAACAAGGCCTTTAGAGCACAGTCACAAAATAGCCCAATAACATCATTCCAGAGCCCTTCCTCTTTGATGTACAGCCCCTCACGCATGTTCTCAGACAAGACCCAGTGGAAAATTTGCTGAAATTCCAGCTGGATATTGTCAGACAGTTGGTGGAAACCCCCTGACCTCAAGTGCTGGCTTCAGCCCTATGGGATATTTTTCTCTCCTCGCTGGATGCGACTCTCCCAGCAGGAAACCTCACAGCAAACCCACAGGGAGCACAGAAATCCCGGTGCTTCCGTCTTTGTGCTCTACCAGGCCCCCCTCCTTAGTAAACCATCCTACACTGTAAATATTTTAGAAGCCCAGCAGGGCTCTTGAGTCTGTTTTGCTGTTGTTATGGATCCGGCCCCAGCAGGAGAGGTCTAATAATAGTCCCTGTACCCTGGAATGAAAGGGCAAGGGGCACTGCACAATGTGCAGAGCTCCAAGGAGACTGCTCCACTTCATGCCTTGGTGGTGGGATGTGATGCTTGAGCAGAAAAAGGGGTCAGATCCCTATTCCCAAGCAGAACTTTGGAATTTCACCCCAGAAACTCAGCAAGGTTCTGTTCAGCTTCAGAGCTTTAAAACTCCAGAAGCTTGGAGAGTGATAAATGCACCAGGCAGGAGGGAGAGTGTGTCCTGGGCTGGGCTGTGGCATGAGGGAGCCATCTCCAACCAAAATCTGCAGCTCTTGCTGCCAGCTGCCACTGGCAATGGACAGCAAGAGGCCAAAGCTGGGCTGCAGCATCTCAGAACGGGGCTGTGCCAGGGTTCCTGGAGCTGGGAACTGCCTGCAGCAGGCACAGGGAGGGCTGAGGGACAGGGCTCCTGCCTCAGGTGTCCCAGGGACAGCACGCAGGGCAGGGCTGTGTTGGCTGCCCCAAGGGACAAGGATGTCCCAGCAGGGCCTAAGCTGCCCCATGGCTCACAGATTGTGCAGAGAACAAGGAGAGAACGCTGAGAAGGGCGAGAGGTTAAGGGGCAGAGCAGGAGGCACAGAGCAGGCAGGGGGGAAATGGCTGAGCTCAGCCCAGCCTGCTGATAGCCAGCACCAGCACCCAAAAATAGCCCTTCCTAGCCACAAGAGGTTGAACCCAGACAAGGGAGAGATGCAGGATCGTGTGAAGGGTTTCCTTGAAACTGGAGTCAGGGCTGGGTGTGACTGTAGCATTCACCTGATCCCAGGGATCAGCCCTGGACACTGCTGGGATGGCAGAGCTTGTGCAGAGCCCCAGGCTGAGGGTGACCTGCCAGGTGTGCCCAGGTCACTTCTCTGCCACCTTGACCTTGTTTGCTGCAGTCCCTGGCATCCGTGCTGAGAAGCAGGCAAGGGGCACACAGGAATTAAATTCAGGCTTGTCAGTGGAACCCAATGGGACATGGAGCTGAGCCAAAAGAAATGCCCCAGTTTATTCTACCAGAAGGCAGAAGAAACATCTAACCCTTTAATTTCTTAGCACCCACCTTCTAAATGAGCAAAACTCAGCCCCAGAATGACTAGGAGTGGTTTAGCTGCAGCTGAGCCAGCTGCTCTGTCAGCTGCTGGGTGATTTCCCTGGAAAATGCCAGCAAGCCCAGTTGCAATCCAACAGCAAAACCACTCAGGAAGCCAAGTCCCCCCCAGAAAAACCAAGACTATTACAGCTCATATTTTTTAGTACTCACAAGACACCACAGAAAAATAAGTCCAAACCAAGCAGCAGGCTTGGCAGATCCAGGCACAGGAGCAGAGGCAGCTCTGGGACATACCTGGTGTCAGTGTCAGCTTGTGAGGGGCTTCTACACTTGTGGCCAGCTGCCCCAGGACAGGCACCACCTCGTCCCCATGGCAGAGGGGACACGGCCCCCCTCCAAGCAGCAAACTTTTGAGGGATGTGCAACAGGCAGCAGATCCCAGTTTCCCTGCCCATCCCTGCAGGCTGGCACGCTGTGCTGAGGGCACGGGAACTGTTTCTGTTACCACCAGCAGCAGAGAGGAAAGGGAGGGCAGGAAAGGACCCTCTGGGGACAAGCTGAATCAGCTCTGTGAAGAGCCCTGGAAACCTTTGCATCTTGTATATGTGTGCCACGGGATTATTCCTGCAGTGCCTGGCAATACCAGGCCCCTCTTCCTGTCCACGGGAGAATGAAAAACCAAAAGTGGGGAGCCAGCAGGTGATGCACCTCTTTTTGCACCCCCTGCCACCCCTGAGTGACAGTCCACAGTGACACAATTTCAGGTTCCACTGAACTTTGTAGGCAAAAGGGAATGTAGTTCCTTTGCAGGTCCTGAGAGATGTTAGAAGCAGTTACTGAGTGAAAACTCACAGAACTGTGGGTTCTGTGCCTGGAAGTCTGGACATGCTGTTTGAAAAATCAGGTTTTCTTATCACAATCGAGGCAACTGCTCCCATCACCCTCTCAGCCCAACAACTTCCCGGAGGCGGGGGCTGGAATTTCTCTGCCTGCAAGGGTTATGAGAGCCACCCACCTTGAAAATCCCGGAGGAATTGTCCAAATATGAAAGTTTCGCTGATAAATCTGCCTGTCTCCAGCTCTTTGCATGGAGAGCCGAAGGGAGGAACCCTCCCAGCCGCGGAAATAAATAAATCCCATGCGCCATCTCCCGGCCACCGAGTCGGGACAGAGCTGCGCACTCGCTGCCTTCTGTTTTTCGTCTGGATGCCATCCTTTCCCCGTGTGGGGGGATAAAATTATTGGCACAGCACTGGCACTACATCAAGGGAAAACGCTGCATCCCTGGGGCTTCGCAGTTTGGGGAAACCTGAGGGTCCTGCCCCGGGTACAAGGCAGCAGGACTTGGAGCACATCAGCTCTGGAATGGCCTCACTGCTTGGAGATGGACCCGGGCTTGTCTGGCTCGCCTCCAGGGAAGCCTCCCGAGTCCAGGTGGGTTTTCTCTGGCTGCTGTAGGAGGTCAGCAGAGTCTGTGAGAACCTGTCTGGGAGTGCTGGGTGCTTGTCCTGTCCTGGGGAAAGGGCACTTTGTTCACTGAACTTCAGCCAGAGGAGGTGCCCTATCCCGGGAAGTATTGTAAATGCAGGCGAACCCAGCGGGAAGAAATGATGGTGTTTGACTCCAGAAGGCTGAATGATTTCTTTATTATAACTATACTATAATACATTAATATATTATTTAAGGGACATACTAGAACTACATACCTACTTTTTCAAACTACCATATCTAACTCCCAACTCATTATCCTCTTTGCAAGAGACTAGACCCAGGTTGGTTGGATTGGCCATCAGGCTCAAACAATCCTCACCAGAATCCAATCAAGAAATCACCCAGCTGAACAATTCTCCAGACGCATTCCACATGAGGAAAAAGAAGGAGCAGAAATAGAAATTGTTTTCTCTTTCTTTCCTCTGTGCTGCTCTATGAAAAATCCTGAAAGAAAGAAGAATGTCCCTGTGACAGGTAAGGGCACACCAGGATGGAAGGAGGGAAGATGAAGAAAAACCTCTGGGACATCTCTTCCTGGGGCAAAGGATGCAGCTTTTCCCAGGCTCATTTAACAGGAGCTAGATGGATGCCAAGTCTGTAGAGGAGGCAGATGTTCACAAGAATTTTTAGCTTCAGGGAAACAGGATCTCCTGCAAGATCTGGGTGGGCCAAGCCCCACATCCCACCAGTGAGCTGGGGCCAGCACTCCCTGAGCTGGCATCCACTCTAGGAGGGGAGTCCCTGGGGCTACCAAAACATGCTGGGTTTCCATGGGTTTTTGGTTACTGCACCCTACTCAGCTCAGGAACAGAGAGACTCTAACTTCTTTCATCCCAATTATTGCATGTTCACCTGCATATCCTTTCTATTGCCATTACATCAGGGATTGAAGTGAGGAGTGTGATCCCTGTTCAGACTGGTGCCTGAATCTGCCAACAGATTTCCCTGGCCAGGAAAAATCAATATCAAGCAGGATTTGTAAAGGAAGCTGAGCAAACTCCTCTGTGGGTCATTAACTCCAAGGCACAAAAGCGAGCGAATGTGCATTAAATGTGCATGAATTTGTTTTCACTGCACACGAGCGTTTCTAATTGGGGCCTGCTCCAAGCACTGGCAGCAATCAGCAGGCCCAGAGGCACATTTTACATGATCAGAGGCGCAGATAAGACAGCAATTAATTTCTTGATTCCACACAGTAAAACAAGCTAAGTGCCAAACAGGGGCAGGAACTGAGAGCTCCAGGTTTCCCATGCAGGGGCAGTGTGTGCTTGCCAGCTCTGTGCCCAAGAGCCAGGATACCCACACCACCATCCCCGGGTCCCTGCACTCTGTCCTCTGCAAGCACTGGCAAGGGAAACCAGCAGCCAAATTGAAAACCCAGCAACTTAAGGATTCATCAGCTGCACTCAGAGCTGGCTCACAGCAGAGCTTGCATGTGACAAGTGGCCGCTCCAGGCCTTTCTTCGTGCTGTGCACTTGGCACTGGCACAAGTCTGGAATGAAGTGATCCAAATGTCTTGCAGAAGGGCTGATTTTCACATGGTAAAGTGTTTATCTCACAGCAGTCCAGCCCAGCGCTTCTTCAGTGACATCCAGTAGCCAGCGGAGGCCAGTACTGCTCCAAGCCCCGTACCTATAAAATACTCCCTGCTCCCCCAGCTTTCCAGTGGGTATCCAGCATTTCCCATTACACATTCAGGTTGGATCACCACCCCATCCCCCAGGCAGTGGGCCAAATTTGGCCTGTGTTCAAAAGCTCCCGTGGCATTTTGAGGAGGAAGCAGGGCTTTCTCTGTAATGCTTTTTCTGCAGGGAAAAGCTGCTGCAAGCGAGCCTGTGTGCCCAGTGGAGAAGGCTGGACACTCAGTGGAGAGACAAACTCCATGTCTGCCTTTGCAGGGGGAAGGCAGAACAAGTCAGGCATCTGGGATGGATCCTTCCTGCACAGTGGGTCACCCAGCATGGTGGGTTTCCCCACACATTGCCCCACATGGGGGAGGTGATATCTGACATTTCAGTACCTGCTGTCAGAGGAGCTGGAGCAGCGTTCCAGGGGCTGTTCTCTCCTGCTGTCATGTTACCCCACAGAGTAACCTAACCTGGAGAGAGCCATGCTGAGCATCCTGGGCCTCACAGCTGTGTTTTCTCCGCAGCATTTTCCACGTGAATAGAGATGCAATGGAGGTAGAGTCCAGCACCTACACCGACTTCATCTCCTGCGACCGGGCTGGCCGGAGGAACGCCGTCCATGACATCCAGCGAGAGGCAACCACCATCAGCATGCGCAAGCTGACCGAGGACATGGGTGACCTCGCTGTTGAAGGAGCAGGTGAGCTGCCACAAGCACGCTCCTGTGAGCAGCAGCTGGCACAGCAGCTCCTGGCACAGCCGGGGAGGGCAGGCACAAAATGGCAGCACAAATGGGCAGTGCTGTCTCCAGGAGCATCGCGCTGATGCTCAGGAGGAATATTCCGTTCCTCGCTGCTCAGTCAGTGCCTTCATGCTCGTGTGGTGGTGGGAGGCTCTCCAGGTCAAGGGGTGCTTGCAGTGAGCAGAAGGATCCCTGGTTCCTGGCACAGGAGCACTGCACACTCCAGCCCAGGCTCTTTGCTCATTGGTGCTTAAACAAGGCATGCACTGACCAAGACCCTTCCCAGAGCAAATTACACATCAGTTATACCTTAGGCTTTATAGAAATCATGCATTGGGCAGGCTGGGATTTGTTTCTTCTATTTTGGTTGGTTGTGAAAAAATAAACCTTTAAACAGTTCTGCAGTATTTCAAATAACAACAGAAATAACTTTCACTCCAGCAGCCATCCCTAAATCCTCCCCTTCAGCCCAAATGTGGCAGCAGCATCACCCTGCTTGGTGATGGCCAGCTGGCTGTGAGGAGCTTGAATCCTCTCTCCAAAGCTGCCACTCTCATTTCACTAATAAGCAACAAAACATAGACTATCACTGCAGAAGGGAAACTCAGTTTTCCCCCTTACTTTCTTAATCCTCTAGCCCACAACCTGTAACTATAAAAACATTTTAAAATATATTCATTACCCCAACTGTACTTCTTTAAGCACAACCATACCAGCATGTGTCCATCCACCCATCCATAGTAAGCACAAACTGCAGCTGCTTTACCAGAGCAGCTCAGACAGCTGCCAGGCTGTCATGAAGACAGTTCTGGAACACTCAAAAGTTGGGTGAGTGCACATCCCTACCTTGAGGCTCCCTCTCAGTATTGCCAACTGTGTTGAGAGGTGTTTGTACTCCTGTAATGTGGAGGGAGAACCCAATGCTCTTAATCACAGAGTCATAGAAAATGGTTTGGTTTGGTTTGGTTTGGAAGGGACCTTAAAGACCACCTGCCATGGGCAGGGACACCTTCCACTAGACCTGGCCTGGCCTTGAGCACTCCCATGGATGGGGCCAAGTATCTGGCCACAGGAGGGGAGTGATAGATCTTCAGGCAAAAATCTTTTTTCTCTGTGGATGAAATCAGCTATAGCAATCACTGATGGCTTGTATCTTCAGCGGGGTGTAACTGTGCTTTCTTCCCAATCCTCCCTTCTGCAGAAAGCCAAAGAGATGCCAGTTCTTCTGACAGTGACCCTGGAGCAAGACCAAAGGGGCAAGAAAGCAGCCCCTCCCCATGAGAGCAAAAAGGGTGTGGGATGGGCAGGAGGAGGGCCTTGCTGAGAACATTAAACAAGAATTTGTTGCATCTGTGGACAAAAGCCAACCTGGAACAGCAAGTTGTCTGTCACATGCCTCTGCTGGAACCGTGCTTGTGTAGAGAGACACAAGACACTTGCAAGGACTTGCACCTCCTAAAGACTTCTGCCCCCATCCCTAATGGTCTAGGGCAACACTGCCATGGTTGTAGTGATATGAGCCATTCTTGAGATGCCTTAGCTGCAATTTTCTCTTAGGGGAAAAACAGTTTCAGTAATAATAGACACACCAGATTTTTCTGTCCAAGGTACCTTCCTCCTTTGCAGATTTAGACTATTATTTATTCTGTTTCTATAGGTTAGAAATTTAGGTTGTTGGTTTTTCTAAGCCTCACCCTCATCTGCATCTTACACCTGGCCTCTGGATTGTCCACATGGCCCCTCGTCAGGGTGGGCAGTGGGGAAAGGACCCAGCCTGTCCTGCTGCCCTCATGTCAGCATCACTCACCTGTGCTGCTGCTGCTGCTTAGCATCAGGAAAGGACCAAAGCACAGCTCTGTGGGGAGGAGCCCCACCTGGAGACGCAGCAGCACCAGCCACAGGCATCTTTTTCTTCAGGTTTTAACACTTCAAGATGTTATTAAGGGGAGAGGAGAAAACATTTTGGTGGTTTGACTGTTGACATTCAGGCTTAACTTTGCAAGCTGTTAGCTGAGATGATCTCTGGTAGGATCTCACACCCTTCTGTCTTTAAGGAGACATTTTTGTGTTAAAGATGGTTTGATAAAACTACATAAGCTGTTGGAATAAATGACACAGCCTTCAAGTACTGAAGGTGTTTTTTTCTGCCTGGATGTTTCTTCTTCCTTTGTTCTGCCTTCAGCTGCAGGGTGGTTTCATAGGGAAACACGGAGCTGTGCAAGAAGAGTCCCCTGAGTTTGGGTCTGTGAAGCCCCATGGGTTTGCAGCACACAGATGGAGGCAGATGTTGGGCACAGATTATAAAAGTCTGCCCCCACTTTCCCAGGTTTACTGCCCAGGAGCCAGCAGGATTGGTACCAGTGGGAAGAGGTGCTTTCCCTCTGCAGCACAGAACTACAGAACATTGCTGGTGTTTCACTGCTCCCAGTGGAGCAGCCTGGCTGGGACTGACCACCAGCACAGGGACAGGGCAGAGCTGACCTGGGAAACTCTCCACTGGTGACAAATCATCTCCCTGACAGCCTGGAGAAGAACTGAATGTTACAAGTTTGAGATTCATCAGCCAAAACAAGGCCATAAATCAGAAGAGAAGTGGCTGCCAGCAGAGGGAGAATTCTGTGAGAAGTGATGGCCATGGGTGAGCACAGAGGGGTCCACAGCTCCAGCCCCCACAGGAAATGAGGATTTGGCAGCCAGGCAGTGGCCGTGGCTGCTGCTTTGGCAAAGGGCTCCAGGACTGGCTGGGTGTCAGTGCAGAGCCATGCCTGGATAGCAGCCAAGAGCCTGCTCCCACTTCCATGCCCAGGGCCAAACCAGCAGGTAGCTGCTGGGCCTGGCTGACTGCACAGCTGTGTCTTTAAGCCCCATTTCCAGCTCTCCTTACCACAGAACAGTAAATTTGGCTTATGCTGACACACACGGAGCTGAAAGGCAGTGCAGAAGGACTGAGCAGCACACAGACTTCCACCAGGCAAATGTGGGCTAATCTTAGCTCTCCCTGGTCAGAAAATATCTGTTTCAGAATTATATTTAGGCAGAGGAGTAGGGACCTGTTGGCCAGCTTCTCTCAGGGGATGGGTGAGAGGCATCAGGTTCCCCCTGCAAGTGACAGTCAGCTCAGCCACTGTCACTGACTGTGCAAAGACCAAGGGCACTGCCTCAATCCAGCCACATCCTCATCTGCAAAGCTGCTGAGCACAAGGATGCTCCCTGCCCTTCTTTTCAGCTGAACACAGGCATGCCAGACCTGTCAAAGCCTAACCAAGCACTAAATAACCCAAAAACCTTTGGGCAAACACTCCCTTGCCCACACTGACGGTGTAGCCCAGCAGCCCAGACTGCTCCTCTTTGGCTCTGAGCATCAACCAACTGTACAAAACCCAGGAGACGGAGGAAAAAAGTGACTTTTGACAAACCCCTGGAAAGGTGAGGGTACCCCGTGATGGCATTGCTGCTCTAGCAGGGGTACACACCCCTTGGACTACTGAAGGGAAAAGGACAGGGGAGGTTGGAACAATCTGCAGCCATAAATCCATCAATCCAACTGGGCTGCTTGGCAAGGGAGCAGGCTTCCTTCTGGCTGCCAAAGTGCTCCAACCTGGCTAGAGGAGAAGGCAGTAATCAAGGTACCAAAGCCCCCATTACACCTATCAATGAACCCCTGTGCTCCAGCAGGGGTTGAGGACCACAGGCCACAGTCCCCAACAGTCACCCTTGAACAGAAAGGCACAAGGATTTCGCTTTTAATATAAATTTGTTATTTTATTAAACAGGATTAACAATCAACTGTCCAGAATCAAAATAAGCAACTCTTCTTCAGAAACAATTGTTGGAGAAAAATGACCCAAACCCTGTTTCTTACCACAATCATGTCCTTAAAAGTGATACTTTTATCTTTTGCTTTATAAAAGTAAGAAAATCACTCTCTTATCTTCATTTATCTATGTATGTGTATATATGCACCACGTACTTCAGAAATAAGTATTTTACTCCAAAGACCAATACGGAAGGCCAGAAAGAATGGAAATACTCCCAGCAGACCATCACTGCTGGCTGAGACTGGACAAGTCCATGGTCTGTCTGTGGCAATGGTGACCATGGCCCCTTTTCAAAGGCAACTATTTGGTACAGTATCTTTGGAGTGAGCATCTTGGCAGAGCCCTGAGATGCTAAAGCACACCACACACTCAGGTAAGAAAACAATGGTCTCATCTCTGGATGCACAGCTCTATTGCTTATTGAGTAAAAACACTATAATGCCATAAAATCACTAAGGAATTTTTGGTGAGTTTCTCTGTATAAATTCTACACCAAACTGAAGATCTGACTTCTAGCCAGTGTCATAATTGAGTCAGAGAAGCAATCAGAGGGACCTGAGTCAATGTGGGACATTGGGTCCAAGTTAATTTACTTATTCAGCCTTAAGAATGCCTAATGATTGTGTCAAATCAGAAAGAGGGCAGAATTGTTAAACCAGGCAATCAATCATATTTTTTCCAAATCCTAAACAAAGGTAAGAGGAAGATGATACTGCAGATGAAACTGCAGGAGTTCTCCAAGATGAGTAAAAAAGTGGGAAAAATCCCAGAAGGCAGATTTTGGCCTGAAGTAGTAAAATTATGTTCCAACTTCCTCTGCAAGTGCGAGCATGGTCATGGCCAGCTGTGAGCACAGCTGGAGCCTGAGCCTAAGGTGTGCACTTCTGCAGCAGTGACATTGAGAGGCCTGATACATGGGAGCTCTTCTCCAAGAAAGGATGCCAAAAAAATTGTATTTTCTTTTAAATGCCCTTCAGAGCTGTGCACAGGCAGGGGCACCAGCTTGCAGCTTGTTCTTGTTCCAGTCTTGTTAGTACAAGACTAACCCTGGGTAAATATAGCTGTGACCAGACCCTCCCGCCCACAGGGACAAGAATAAAGCCTCTGTGTCTGGAAGGGCTGCTCATACCCTGCCAGCACTAACATACCTCTTCCCTGGAAAGGTGAAGATTAACCCAGGCCACAGCCAGAGCTGAAAGTGGTTATTTCAGCACTGCAGGGAAGGGTCAGGCAGGTCAGTGGGACAGGACAGGTAAAACAGGGAAAGAGGAGGGAGGAAACTGTGAGGGAGGTTCTTGTGTTTGCACTTGCAGTACATAAACACCAGCAGATGGAGAAGGGAGTCAGGCCAGCAGGCAGATCCAGTCTGCCACAGGAAGCTGGATATCCATTCAGGAGAGAGATTGTGGGGTACAAGTAGGTGTGTGTGATAGTCTGATTCTGATGAGCACTGTAGGGGTCAACACAGGGCTGCCAGGAACAGAGGCTGACTCTGGGCACCTCCTGCCAGTGCTGCCACTGGCCAGAGGAGAGTCAGGCACTGGAGAAGGAGAGCCCCACTCCAGGCTGGCTCCCAGGGAGGTCACGATGCATTGGGGTCCATCCCATAGGCTTTGTACAGCTCATTGAGCAGCTCCTGTTTTTCCTTCTCAGGTAAGAAGCTGGACTGGGCTGCGTTGATGTTCTGAGGAGGCAGAGGGGGAAGACAGGGACATTAAGACACATCAGACATGAACACACAGTTGTGCACATCCCAACACCTGGCTCTGAGCAGCAACAGGAGAGGGAGAGTGTAAAGTTTCCACACTCAGATTCATTTCCGTGGCCTTATTTGATGCCAACTGCTCTGGCCCATCACTAGCAGCAGTCCCAGGAGAAATGAGACCAGCACAAAGCAAAGGTCTTTAAATACTCAGGAATTTTTGGGATATGTACTTTGAGCCTGGTCCTACTTTCCTACTTACAAGGCCAGAGCAGAATTTTCTGATTTCTATTAAAAATTGTTCAGTATATAAAGAAAAAATAGCAGGTTGCTCTGGGCTTCACTGAAACACCAGCAGGGCACCCAGCCAAGGCTGACTTACAACTCTCTTGAACTCCTCTTCAGTGAATCCCATGTGCTCCTTCACGATGCCATAGTCCGTGTCAATAGTGGAGTTGAAGATGAGGGGGTCATCCGTGTTTAGAGAATAGTTGGCACGATCCTTCTTAAATCTGTAAGGAAATGGGGTTGAACTGCTAGGCAGAACACTGGGTGTGATACTGTGCAGTTCTCAGGGTGAAATGCAGCAAAAGCAAAGACATCAGGGCTGTCTCTGTAGCTGGCACTGCTGGAGAAAAGAACAAGGCTTAGCTTGTCCCCCCATGGCTCTGCACTGACCTGCCAGGAGTAGCTGGGGTTGTAGCTTCTCACACCCCATAGCTCAGAGCAGGGCAGGAGGGACAGGACAGCCTCCCCAGGGGACCCCCACACCCCTCCAGCTGCACCAGGACTCTCCCGTGCCAAGGTACATGGATGTGCCACATTATCCTACATAATTAGATGTATTTTAGCTTTGTAAAGCAATAAAACAACTGTCATGAACCCAAATCCTGGTTATTTGAGATTTCACATAGTTGAGAAGTCTTACTGTATTACGGGGTGTTTGGTGAAGTCCGGAGAACATGCTCCAGTGAGATAACTGGACCAAGGGCAGACCTGTTTGGGGAGTTAAGCATGAAAACCAGAATCAATCACATGGATCTGAACCCCAGCTGTGTCACAGATAGCTCAGCACACTGGTACAACCAGATTAGAGCTGTGTTCACAGCTGCCCCTCAGCACTGCTCTGACAGACCAGTGTGTGTCCCAGGATATGGATGCAAGGAGCCCACAGGACTGTGACAGGGGCTGTGGGATGCTGCCCATGGCCAGGCAGTCACCAGCCCTGTGCCAATCACAGTTACAAAACCACTTGCATTAAGTACATATTCCCTTTATTAGTTGGATATGGCCATTCTGGGGAGAAGCAAAAGAAATCCTTGCATGCACTTTAACTCCCAGGCATTTCCACCCTCTAACCAGACTTGCTCAGGTACAGCAGCCTGATTTGTGCCAGGATGAGCTTTCAGGCTTGAGGTGTACAAATCAGTGAATTTATAAATCCACAATTTATCCTTGGCCACACAAGGATCCATTCTTTCTGCTACGTCCCTCCCACAAGCTGCTGTGCACACCAGTGCTCCCAGCAGCACATCCCAGTGAACAGACATGTTTGTCCCCAACATTTTTCCTGTGAAGATTTTTGGGCATAAACAGAGCATCACTGTACACATGGTCAGCACCTGGGTGTCAGGTCCTGTCCCTGGCTGTAGCACAGCCTGAGTGAGGGCTTGTTTTCCACTCAGACAGCACCTGCCTGGCTGTCACAGTCCCACCACACATCCTTACCTCAAAATGCATCTTTATTTCCAGCAGCTGCCTGTAGAGCTCAGGGTCCTCCACGACGTGGTATCCATGGCCAACACGCTCGGCCTTGAGGACATAAACTGCCTAGAGAGCACAGGAAAACCACTCAGAGCCTCAAGCACAGCTCTGCCCCCACCCCACTGCAGGTACAGCCCGCACCACCGAGCTGGCTCCTGGGATGCCCCATTCCAGCATCAGGTTGGATCTGTGCCCATTATCTGTTTCTTGGCCCCACGCTGGGCCCCTCCCTGGGGGTCCCCCTGTTTGGGGGAAACCCTTCTGGAGCAGTTCTGTGTCAGGAAAAGGAGATGCACGGGACTATTTCAGTCTTCAGCTTCTTGTTTATTGTTGTCTTATCTAAAGTTTTGCATGCTGTCTATGCCAGACTCTGCGTGCTGGAAAAGCAGCACAAAAATGGCCAACAATCTCTTGCTACAAGGTCTTTTAAGACTAAACTATCCAATTAAGAAATGACATGTAGATTATTTTCCCTTTTAACCCAGTAACTGATCCCTCAAAGCCCACAATGAGGACTTTTCTGTCCAATTACAAGACATCACCCAAACCCATGAAGAAGAAGGAAGAAGAAAGTGAAGAAGAACAATCTGCCTCCTCCCTAAAACCTCCATCTTGTTCCCATCTACAATATACTAAAAATCCCCAAAACCTAAATTTCTCACCCAAGTGACATGCTATACTACTCTCTAATTTATTTCACTTTTGTGGACTCTATCTTGAAGTCTTGGAAGCTTTCTCCACAAACGAGGGTCAAAGTCAGTGCTTCTCTGGGGGTCAGGACCCCTCAGAGCAGAGAGAGAAATATTCCCTGTGCCCTGGCTTCCCACACCCATGTACCCAGGGTTCACTTTGCTATGGATATGGGAGGTTTGGATGCCTCTGTGCCTGGTGCATGGCACGTCACACCCTGTCCTTGATTCAGGAGCTCCTCGTACCTCCTTGACCATGGCAGCCGGGCCGGCCTCCCCGGCATGGACGGTGCGATGAATCCCACACCTCTCAGCTTCCTGCAAAGCAAGGGAGAACATGCTTCTGTCCCATCACCTGCAGCAAGCACAGCAAGCTCTGGGCTGGCACAGCAAGGCTCCTGTGCCAAGAGCCCACAGATCATGAGCCTTGCACTCCAAGGGCAGCAAGAGCTCAGTAATGTCACATTGACACTTGAAAATCCTGGTTATCTTCCACTAGAGCCCAGCCAGGCTCTTCACGGGCTTTTAACCCTGGGTGAGTTCACCACTGCCTCCTCTCCAGACAGCAGCAAGCTCTGAGCTCCTCTTCCTCTACCCACCTGCCTTTCTGCACGAAACTTGCAGCAGTTCCAGGTTTTGGAACCTGTACATTTTTGGCTGTCTGCAGCCGTGTGCGAAGGTGTTGAAGCACCTCAGGGCAGAGATGAACAAATGCTCTGACACTGTAAGGGGCTGGGGGTGGAGGCAGCCAAGCCCTACGGACCCTGTGAATGCAGCTTTGGGTGCAGCTCCATGATCATCCTGAACATTTCTTTGTCGGGGTCACAGGTCACCTGGGCTTTGGGAAGCCATGGGGCCTGGAGGGAAGCCTGGCTCCTGCTTTGCTGGAGAAGGGCCACCCAGCTGGCAGCAGCAGACAGGCTGCAAGCCCCATCTTGCAGCAGATGCTCTGCACAGACATTCCTTCAGGGCTTTGCACTCAGGAGTGTTTTTCAGTTACTTAATAGGGATGGGAGGGGGGTGTTGCTTCAACATCTCAGAGCTGAGTGAGGCCCTGGCACACAGACAAGATGCATCCTTCAGACAGAGGAGGCTGGACCACCAGGGCAGGATGAGACTGCCTTCCCATCAGTTAGTGAGCCCCCGTTCCCGTGTCACTGTCTACAACCACCCCGTTCACTCAGCACAGCAGTGCACACCAGCCTTGAATCGGCTCCCCCTGATGGGGTGAAGACCCCAAGGAAGCCTCATGTACTGTCAGACCTGAGCACTGCTTGCAAACCACCACCTTTTTGTTAGTGATGGTGCACAACCTCCTCCCCCACCGATGGTGGGGACTAACAACCCCAAATTTCCACCAGCAAAGAGGAGTGAGGCTTTCCCTTCCCTTGGAGGCACTGCAAAGGCTGAGGTTTGGTGAGAGCCTGGGATTAGACTCCTGAAGCCATTCCAGTGTTTGCATTTGAGATGATCAGATAAAAGCCCTGCAAATGTGCAGCTTCTGCTCTGCTCCTCGGGTGATTTCTGCCAGACTGGAAAGGCCAGTCTCTTCCACCCTTGGCTGTGGCTTCACCAAGCCCCAGGAGCCAACAGCAGTGGGGTGGGGTTTGATTTGGGCTCCATGTCACTCATGTCACACTCACAGCGTGCCAAGCCCCAGCTCTACAGCCATGTTTTAGCAATGATGCCTGCCATTAATCATTTGGGAAATATAAACAAATACTTTTTCTGTTTAACTGAATTTTTTTAATAGCTGCAATGAATTTTTAAGCTGTCCCAGCTGTTTGCAGTTTGAAAAGTATCCCTTCACACATGTCCCCTCGATATATATTCTTGTAATTTCTTTTTAAAAACTTATTCCACAAACCTCATAAGCCTTCTTATGCTCAGAGTAATCCTCCACCTTCAGGGTCTCATCTCCAGCCAGGTCAACAGCCACCACAGAGTCATTTTGATACTTCTTGCAGAGCTCTACCACCTCTGGAGACCAGCCTGGAAGAGGCAGCACCAGGATTCAGGAGGAAGCATTCATAAGGGTCACACCTTCAGCATTTTTCTAAACAAATCCTGGTCATATAACTAGAAGGCTAGAGCTATTTTCTTTAGTCTTTCCCAAAATTTGATGCCTAAAAAGAAAGCTAGCAAACTCCTAGAAAGGTCTGTCATCTCTGTGATCTTCAGGCAGATAAAAGCTATCAACTGATCAGTCTGTTGTCAGCGAAAGGGAAATCAAATGCATTCACCAGAGCTATAAAACTGCTCTCATCATGTTTTTCTGCTCACTTCAAGCCAGGGAAGAAGTTAATTTAAAAATTTCCAAGCAGTGGTGACTGCTGCAGTTGGCTCGAGGTAAGATGAACTGCACTGCCCTGGGGCTGTAATACGATGTGTTGGAGAAATCCTTCAACTCCTGAGCTTTCCATCCCTTCCCTGGCTGGGCAAGGTGAGGGTAAAGGCTGGACCTGCCCACCAGATGAGCTGTGTGAGGATCTCTGGGGGCCCTGTACTACAGCCTGTTGTAGGGCATCCTTCACTCTCCCAAGGATTCTACTCCTGATAGGAAGGAGCTGAAGTTTTATCTATTTGTCAGTGAAAAGGAGACTAACAAGTGGCCAACAACTGCTTGAGAGTTCTCTCTGATCAGGACAGATAACCTCTGAGAGAGAAACTGCATCTACCAGCTCACACAGCACTTAACCCTAGCAGAAAGGCCAAGAAACAGAGATAAACAGTTGTGTTAATAATTAACAGGCACCTTCTGTGTACAGAAAATCCCCAAATCATATGAACACACCACAGCATGCCAAGCTGTGGTGTGTGGATGATGTGTGAAACTTCATCATCTTTTTTTTTTTTTTTCTATCATTTTCCAGCTTGCTGGGTTAGAGTCATTAGTTTATTAACAAGTTTAATATTAGTCAGTTCTGGCTAGTATCTCTGCCTTTCTCTCAACAGTTCATTAATTACAATTAGGGTGGCTTCTCACTGTGCAGCACATCCTGAATGCACTGCTAAAGACTTTTTATCAAGCACCATTAGCTCTGGGTATCAGCTAGTGCCCTGGAACACAGGTATGAGAATGCCACCAGCAATCCCTCCTGCAGTGAAGTGCAGGCTGCACACACCCTCAGATGCTCCTGCCACCTCCTGCCTTCACCACTTGTCCACTGGCAGGAGCAGTAACTGCAGATCACTGTGACTGTGCCTTACAGCTCTCCAGTTTCTACAAAGAAAAACATCTTTTCCCTAGAAACCAGAAATATAAGGATCAAGTTTTCAAAGTATTGTTTGGAGTTGTTTGTACAAGCAGGAAAAAAAAAAAGAAAACCCCATTCTTAAATCTACCAAGATTCTACCAGCTTCCAAGAATATAATTTTTCACATTTTAGATACTAATTAATCATATACTCACTAGGAAAAATTTTTCCACCATCTACCCTACTAAGCCTAAATAAAACTAGTGTGAGATATGAAGATACTCAGAACAAAACTTTCACATAAAATAGCTGCTGTAACACAGCCTCTCTCTGGCTGCATCCTTCCCTAGAGGAAGATGCCTGTGAAACTCAGCAGGCCATTGAAATGCTGGTAGTTGGGTTTTCTTCCTATTCTGGATCACAGCACCTGTTACCAACAAAGTTTTTCATCACAGCTGCTCATTTTATAAAAATAAAACCATTTTATATATGCACCTTAATTATATCAGACTTGCATGTTCAGCTTAACTCAGCAGAGACTGGCTGCTGCCAGCGGGTTCTCTCACTGCCCCATGATCCAGGCTAAGGAAGGAGCATCCTGCTGTAGGACCATGAGCAGGGAAGTGTAAGATGTCATGCCTGGTCCTCCTTCCACAACCATTTGCCCTCAGACCTCCAGTCACTCATGGCAGATGCAAGTGCTCCTTGTGCCAATGGCTTTTACTGGCCCAAGGTGAGGGCAGGGAGCAGAGACCACAGCTCCCCCAGGAGAGGATGGACAAGCCCCTTTTGTGCCTCTAGCAAGACCTTTCAGGTACTGGTTGTACCCACAGACCCCCACTCCTGCATCCAGCAGAGCTTTGCCCTACAGTGAAAGGAGCAGAGACCCCCAGAGTCTCCTCAGCACTGCCTGGTGCTGCAGCAGCCCCACAGACTGGGGCTCTCCCCACATTCCTGCAGGGCCCCAGCCCCAGGGACGTCCCCCCCACGCGTCAGGGAAGGGAGCAGAGCAGCAGGGCAGCTGCAATACATTACTTGGCATATGGCGCATGCAGCATAGAATAGACCTGGCTTTGATGTGGAAATCCCTTTCTCCTTCCTTCAGTCCCTGATTTACGAGCTGAACCACTTCGTCTGGAGTGAGGTCTCCCCTGCAGGGAAGAAAAGCCATCAGCAAGAGGCCAGACACTGCCAGGGAGGCAGGCAGGAGCCACAGGTGCAGCCTGCATCCCCACGGGAGGACAGGCTGGCCCAGGTTCCACTTGCCCATTGAGACAAGCCAGAGCCCAGGGCACCTTTGACACCCATGCCATGGCCACATTTACCAGGCAGCAGGCACTGAAGCAGGCACAGATGACACTAAGATTCAGAAAGACCTTGAAGAACTGTGTGCCCATCCTGCCTGAGCAGAGGAATCCCCTCTTTGCCAGAGCAGCTCGTTAGGGCACACAATTCTCTGCAGCCAGGCAGGGGCAGGGCTCAGCACCTACCACAGCACACTCTGGAGCGGCCCCAGAGCCCAGCACTGATTTAATGAGAGGCACATATCACAGAGGGGATGACATGAAAGGAAGGTATCAGCCCACCAGCCCTCTCAAACACCACCCACCACCTCTGCCAGCTCAAACTCCCATTTTGTGGTCAGGCAGTCCATACGTGGACATTTCTTTCCCTCTCACAGGGAAGGGCTTCAGCCAGAAGGTTGAGCACAGCTGGTCTGCACATGCAGAACTCGGTGCCCAGAGCAAGGAACATTAAAACACTGCAGCACATGGAGGTGTTTAGGATGAAAAACCCTATTGATGGGAGAGAGAGGTGGAAGCATGCTGGCTCTTGCTGCATGGGAGGAGAAAGGAGGTTTGTTACAGCAGCCTTTGAACCCACAGTGGCTGGCTGGCATGGAGATGCCTTCTCCATGCCCAACCAGGCACCCGGCAGCTCCCCAGCACAGCAGGATCACTCACTCAGCTTGTCCCCAGGGGATGGGAGTCACACCAGCGTTGGCCAGGAAGTGAGGGCTGTACCGGACCTCCACGTAGGCGACTCCTTCCTTTGCTTTTGTTTCCACAAACTCGTAGGCAATTCTCTTCACTGCCTCACGGTCACCCCTGCAGGGATGGCAGTGGGACCTGTCACCCTCAGGGCTCACAGGGGTCCTCCAAGGCTGAGCCAAGGGATCCTGCCAAGGGTTGAGGGGGGGAAAAGCAAAAGCAGGGTACTTACGCAATGGCAGGCATGTAATAATTAAATTTCTCTAGAAACTCGGGAAGTGACAGTGGTGTGTCATAGCTGATATACTTCAGGAGCTCCTCAACAGTATTCCCAGGGAGAGGGATGCCTCTTTTCCTGGGAACAAAGTCACATGTTACTGACAGGGAAGGTTATCACATTTTTAATCAGCCCATTTTTTACACCAATTGCATCCAAAGCTGGCAGCATCAACCATCATTTCCTCACAGGAAAGATACAGCACACACTGTCCTTCCAAAATTTCCTCATGGATGGAGCCCTGAATCTCAGCAGAGAGGAAGGTGATCCAAAACACAGGCAAAGCACAAACAAACCAAAACACAAGCCCGGGCTGACCCGGCAGGAACACAGCCAGGGCACATTTTAAGCTTAAGAAAGAGTTCATCTAAAGGGGCTCTGGATTATTTCTTGGCACTTCCTAGCCCTAACAGCAGAATTGCCAAAATTCTTTAGAAGAGTTAATTTCCACTTATGCAGGCACAAAGGATTAAAAAAATCAAGGAGATGCTCCGAGGCCTGGGATCACACAGGCAGAGGTGTCGTGGCTCATGGGTTTGGTCCAGGAGCTCCTGAGAGCGAGCTGCTTCCTGAGCCCAGCATCCTGCTGCCATCTCCTGTGGCAGGAACTCCTCCCACACAGGAACAACGGGCAGCAACTGCTCTCACCCAAGGGACAGACATGCTAATGCCCACTTAAGTGCTTCCAAGAGGGAAGAGCCCATCTTTCCCAGGAGCATCTGGAATACTGAGTGGGTGAAGGTGTTCCTGGTGTGGTGACAGCCGAAATCGAGGGGGCTGCCAGCCAAGGGTGCTGCAGCTTCCCGGGCAGGCTTTGCAACCCAACCCCCCTGCCCTCTGGTACCCTGCACAGGCCAAAACAAATTTGGAATAATAACCAGGCATTTGTTTTTAATCCTCTTTCCTGCCACAACGAATTACAGCTGATTGATGGACGAACTTTGCTAATAGAGACAAAACAGCACAGAGAGCTTTAGTGCTCTGCTGCCAGCACCCATCCCAATGAGCCAGGCAGGGACACAGTCCAAAGGACCCCGCTCCTGGGCTTGGTAAACATCCCTTCCCCACTCAGCCAGGAAGGAAACCAGCCCCATGCTCAGCCCTCACATGCAATCTGCACAGATTAAGTTGCTGGCACTCAGCAGGGAACACTCATCGCTGCCAAGGCATCGGTTTTCCTCCCCGCCTTGCCCTTTCCATGGCACTGACACATCAGTCTCTGCTCCGGGAACCGACTTGCACCTTCCTCCACCTGCCACAGGAAAGTTTCCTACAGCAAAGCCACTTCCCTGACCTCTTTCATGCACTTCCTGAAGCAGTGCCTTCCTTCAGGCATCAGTGCAGTGCTTTGGGATGATCCACACTGGAACTATGCCTCTGCATGAGGAGATCTGCTGGATCATGCCAGTGTGGCTTTTGGAGCTGCTGCTGCCCCATCCAACCCTCCCACTGCAGGTGGGATTCTTCTGGAAGCAAAGTGGCCGGAGGGGAACAGGTTTGTCCTCACTGCCACCTCGGTGTCCTGCCCAGAGCTCCCTCCAGGCACGGGCAGCACCATGCACTCCATCCCACCACAGAAGGGCACCTCTCCTGGGGACACCCAGTCCCCATGAGGGGTCTGTCACTCCTCTGAGCCCTTTGGCTGAGCAGGAATGATGCAAAGACTGACCCAGACCTGACAGAATTGTAGACAAATTTTCTAAAAACACCTGAGTGCAGCAGTGCATCCCAGAAGCTTGGGGTTCTACATGGTCAAACACCACCTAGCAAAATTATTTCCAGCTCTTTAACTTTAAAAATAGACCACAAGTAGCATTCTGTGCCTAGGGTGAGGTTATTAAGGCTGTCAGTCCCCTACAGCCTTCTGCACTGCCCCACTGGTTTGTGTGTGAGTGCAAGTTTTAGAGCCCATGAATAGCACAGCTGAGGGCTGGCAGCTCAGGGGGATGCCAGGGCTGTTTAAAAATAAGAGGGAACTCAGCACACGCTCAAGCAATGAAGGTTTCTGCCCTAAGAAAGGATCCTGGCACAGGATCCCCAGCCAGCCAGTGCCTCCTGGGTTTCAGGGCTCCTACAATTCTCCTAGGGGACTACACTGGCATTTTCTGTTTGCAGGCAGAGGGACCCAGCAGAGCCTCAGGGAGTCAGCACCAACTCTTCTGTTCATTTGGACTTGTATTCCCTGCAGCCCACCAGCAGGAACCCTGAGTTCACCATGCCAGCATCCAGCAAAAACATGGGATGGACAGCCCTGACCCACTCTCCTTTCTCTGACAACACAGCAACCTGCAGAAAAAGCTACTCTAGAAAGAATATTTCTCCCTAGGACTGCACTGCCTTGGATTCTGCTGGGCTCACAGGATGCTAGAACCACTTCCCATCCTCCTCAGAACTGACTTCCTCCCCAAAATACCAGAGCTGTGCCTAAGAGCCGTTCCCTGAAATCCCTACCCTTGCCACCTCCTTGATGTGAGGGTATCAGTGACAGCTGGAAGAAATCTTGTTTATTTTGCTTACAAATGTGGAGCCAGGCCCTCACACAGGTTAATCATTCACCCTGTGCTTCCCACAGCATCTACACCAAAGGAAGATGCACGTGGGCTCTGCCAGGGAAACAAGCTCCCTCTAAAGCACCTCTAAAGGTGCTTCCCTTGGTCAGCCCCACACCAGCGTGGCTCCTGCTGGCACCAGGCAGGCAGCCTGGGACTCAATGCCCATGGCAGCAGGGCAGGTAAGGGCACCCACGCTGGCTTTTCCTCTCAAACCGTGCAGCAGCAGCAGCACCAATACAGCACTCCCAGCCTGCTGCCATCCCGCTTGGTTTTGTGGTCAGGAATGTGGAAAAAGAAACGAGAATACAGCACCTCTGCTGTGTCCTGGGCACATTTCAAAGGCTGGCAGCTCGTTGAGACATCTTCTGGACTTTTCTCATGGTGGCTCCTCGGAGCTTGCCCAGCTCACAAACCCACGACCACCTCAGTCACATTCCTGCTAGCAGGGAAGCCCCCCTGTCTTTTGGGGTGTGCTCAGTGTCCTCACACTGTGCAGCCAGGTCTGGGCAGAGACAGAACCAGCACCAGCACCAGCACCAGCACCAGCACCAGCACCAGCACCAGCACCAGCACCAGCACCAGCACCAGCCAGGTTTGCTGCCTGCAGGAGCTCCTCTGTCACAGATCTGGAGAAGCAGAGGGGAGGATGCCTTTGTACTGCAGCTCCCAGAGCTTATTTCCCCCCACAACTCACTTGCCAAAGTACAAGATGGTCTCTGGTCTGATGGCTCCATCCAGGTGGACGTGAAGCTCCACCTGCAATAAGAGAAATGAGTCAGGTATTCTGAGCTACAATAATTCAGAGAGAAGTAACTGGTGCTCACATGGGTATAAATGTAGCCAATACAGGGACAAAGTCATGACACATAAACATTTTTTAAATATAATAATGATAATGTTTATTTTTCAATATCCATGTATTGTCTAAGCATTTTGCTGCAGCTCACACATTTAATGGATCTTTAGAAATTTATTCTGTTTCCAGTAATTTTGAGGAACTGCCCTATCCTTATTTAGAGTTCAGGAGGAGTGAAAAAAGCAAACTTCAAACACCTTGACTTTTCAGCTTGCTTCCTCCTTGAAATCACAGGAAGCCAAACCCTAATTAATTTGCTAAGAGTCATTACATGAAAACTTTGACTTCGCTTCCAAGAATCAGGTCCTTATGGGTTGTTAATTACTTTATATTATCAAGGCTTACAGGCTCTCTAATCCTACACAAGGGGTCAGTCCCACGGCACAGAGGTGCTGTAAAAAGAAATAATAACAAGTTGCCCCATAGAGCCAACAAGGTTTCAAAATTAGTGTTTCAAAATTTAAGTGTTTTCACTCCAATTTTTACTTTTAATGAGATTTTAATTTCATTAAAAATGGGACAGTAACTCTGAAGCCCTATTTCCCCATTATTGCTGAAACATTGGATTTTGGAGAAAGAGAGCCAGAAAAGCAAAAGCAAGCTTTTTCCATTAGCCAGCTGGGGCTTTCGGAGGAACATGACAAATATGATTTGGAAGTCGAATTGGGAAGGAAAATATTAGCTGTAAAATGTTTTAGTTAGATATCCATCTTTCCAGAACTGTTTTCTTTTAAGTAACAGAATGGTCTACAAAATACATATTTGATTTTATTGTATTTTTAAATGAAACTGTAGATTAGAAACTTAATACACTAGGTTCTTTTTAGTTCTAACATCACAGACATTTATTTATAACATCAATGCATTTTTCTGCATAGATGATAGCTGCAGGATGCCAAGGGTAAGAAAGAAGTAGGATTCAGAAGACGACTGGATATTTGCATGGATAACTAAACTACCCAGGGTTACTAATTAAAACCCACAAACTCTCTGGCGTCAGGGTATGTATCAAACAATAACTACGAGGAGCTGGGAGAAAACTGAGCAAGCAGTGCCTGCAGGTGTCCAAGAGCAGCTGACGTGAGCTGCTGGCACAGGGCTGGCAGTGCCCATCTCTGGGGCGTGCACTGATGCCCAGGAGCTCGCTCCCACCCCCAAACACAGCCCTGCACATCTGCCCTGACTCCTGCCAGGGCTTTCACTGGGACTGCTGCAAAAGGCAGGGCAGGGACAGCCCTGGGGCTCAGGCCATCTCCACACGATGGCCAAGAAGCTGCCACTGAAACACTGGTGGGATGCAAAATGCAGGTGGGGCAGGCTCAGGATAGATCAAGCTGCTGGTGGCAATCAGCTGGCCCAGGGGTCATGGATACGGCCACAGACACCACTGATAGCAGATTGTAAAAACACATCCCTGCCACTGCTCCTATACCATCTGAATCTACTGAGAGGAAGAGTTAAGAAGGGCAAAACCTGATCTTTCCCCCCTCTTTGAATTATGCAATCCTGCTTATGAGCACTAAATGTCCTTGAAAGCAGCAAATAAAATAACAGGATACAAACATGGTCTGCATTGCCAGATGTGGATGCCTGGCATGTTTTCCACTCTTGAGCTCCAATTCTTATTTCAAAACCGTGCAAGATCCACCCCTTGAGGTATTCAACAGCCCTCACGACTTTCTTATGGAGTTACAAGCTTGAAATTTGTTTACATTGGATTGAAAAACAAGGCAACCTGAACCTGTTGGGGTCTTCTCCCTCAAACACTTTTCAAGTGTTTCCTGCAAGAACATCCTAACATGACATTTCCATCAGTGAGAAAGCAGATTCCATGGCATCCTTCATCTGTGTAAGTAACCTCCTCCTGCCTCTTCTGCAGGCGAGATGCTGGTAAAGCAGCAAGTTCCTCTCCAATATCAGCAACAGGCTCTTTGTCCCCTGCCAGCCTTTTTTGGGGGGGGGCCTGGAGACACTTAAACCAACTGCTAAGAAACCCTTGGCAATGCTGTTCAACCCAAAAAATGTTTGGTTTCCTCAAGATCAGTGCTTGAGAGCTGAGTTTTCTGCGGCTTCGAACTATTCTATGCTATTTAGATGGCCAAAGGACATTCAAGAGAGGATGGAAGTGTGCCTACAGGGCTCCAGATAAGGCTGCAATCAGCAGAGGCACAAGCCAGCAGCTCATCTGCCCCAGGCACCTTGCTTGCAAACCCTGAGGGTTTCCAGGTCTGTGGGAGGCTGCTCACTGCAGATTACATTTCAGCTCTCTTCCCGCGTGTTTGTTTTGGGTAAACAAAGCACAAGTCTTTTCCACATACAAATGGGTGACCCGACCTTGCCTTAAGCCAAGGAAAGTACCCAGATAAGGATGAAAGAGTTTTCTCTGAACTGTGGGTCCAGAGGACAATGCCTGAACAAGAAGAAATTAGGTGAATGCAGGAGCCCAGTGCTTCTTCCAGAGCTCTCTACCCCTTAGTGCATGTGGTCTCCCACCCTGAACCTTCCAGTTTATTTGTAGAGAAAGCATGAGCACACACATTATATTGGGACCTCAACACCTGGTGAAGGATCTGAACTGCACCACAGGCTGCACCAGCGCTGGACAGGAACCTTCAACCATTCTAGGACCACTGATGATAGAATCACAGAAAGGTTTGGGTTGGAAAGGAGCTTAAAGGTCATTTGGTTCCAAGCCCCTTTGCTGTGGGCAGGGATGCCACCCACTAGAGCAGGTTTATAACTTCCCTTCTCACAGCCCAGCTGGATGTGGTAGCACCTGTTTGTTCTGATGAAGAACAAGAAACAGCAGAACTCTCCAATGCTTTCCTGAGGAAGGAGCTTTGTTCTTCTCCCAGGTACAGTGAGGACCCTCAGAACCAGCTTCAGTCCATCCTGCACCTCCACTGACCTCCCACCAGCGCATCAAAAACCCAGAATCTAACGCAATAAAACTTTTAGTTTCACTCCAGGCTTGTTGAAAGCCAGAGGGATGGGTACAAAGAACATTCAAAAGGCTATAAATTGTGTGTCCTCAGCACAGACAGCCCCCAGCAAGGCCATCAGAGCAAACCCAGCAATTTCCACTTTTATGCAATAAAAGTTTTAGCTTAACCATGGCACATGACTCATTACTGAAGATATCAGCAACTCGGCCCAGATTTTTTAAAAGGAGAAGTTTTAAGGGCTCTGGCTTGACTTCTCTGAAAATATAATAATGTTTTCTTTGAGATGTAATAAGCTTCAAAAATAAATTCAAACACAAAATGAAGGTACTCAAACAAGTATGTTCCATTCCAAGATCAAGTCTGATTATTTTCATTTTTGTGAAATTAAGGGGGAAAAGTTAACCAAACATTCAAAGTATTTTCCTTCACAATCTACCCAACACAATTTTTCTATTATGGTTTGATCAGTGGACCATGGCAGAGCAGTTACCCGATCAGCTTGCCCATTATATGGCATAAAAAGAGCCATTCAAGCTAAGGCACTTTAAGGATTTTCTGTATTAGGTGGTGTTATGGTCTTTTTTTAAATATAGACAATGACCAAAGTCAGTCTGCCCCTTTTATTGTGAGGTTTCCAGCAGATGTCCATAGATAATCAGGGAGCTGATAAAGTTGCATCACTTTAAAACCCTTAACAGTGACTTTGCCCAAGATTATTTATCAGCCTCTTGAAAAGTGATGATTTAGGCTCATTCTATTAATCTCAATGGCTGAAAACTAGGGTAATTACAGCTGTAATTTGTCAATTATTTGATAAGCGTGGCAAATCACTGCAAAAAACAATTAACTATGTTCCCCAAAGTCTGGTTTTAAGGAAGTGTGCTGTTAGGAACAAAGAGTTCCTCATCGAAGTTCATCTCAAACGCTCATTTAGAAGCAAGAAATGAGAGTGGCTCAAGACAGTTGTGAAGTGGAAGTAGCACAGCATTATCCTCAAACCCGAGGACACCACAAATGCAATTGGGAGATGGACCTGTCACGTGCTGTAAGGGGTGAGCCTTTAAAAGAAAAACATGGGAGACTACAAGCCCCACAGAGCTCCACTGCAGGAAATATTTGTGCTTTCTATGCATCTCAACAATGATTGATAGGTTTGGTGGCTGAGGAAGAGGAGGATGCTCCAGTGCTGAGCAGCCTTTAGAACCGCCCCCCTCCCAGCACCAACTACACCACTGACCTCAGTCTGAGACTCCTGGTGATGTTAATAGGTGATGGTGGCTGTGTCATCACAGGTGATGGCTCTCATGGGGTGGCAGGGCCACGTGCCCACCAACCCAGCACAGAGCTCACACCCACCCCTGGCTGGAGCAGGGCCCCACTTCAGAGCAGTTAAGAGAGTCCTGGCACTTTGTGCAGCACCGGGACAACCTCTTACTGCCACCTGGATCTGGGAAGGTTATCCAAAAGCATCCCTGTACCCCATTATTAATGAACTGAGCACACAAGGTACCACTGTGTAAGGTTTGGCTTGAGCTCAGCGCAGTCTCAGCAGCACCAGGCTCTGACCATGCCAAGTCAGGGGTCAGGCTGTGCTCAAGTGGACGAGCCAAATCCAACATTATCCTCGACACACCATTGTGCTCTTGCTGTCCCCATGAAAGGCAGGGAGAGTCTGCAGTGCTACAGGGAGTGGGGCAGGACGTCCACCCAAACCCCTGGGTACAGCCAGCACAGGCACCTTTGGTACCAGCTAGGCTGGGTCAGCAGCCACTCTTCCTGTGCCCCGCAGGAACACCTCCCGTGTCACCTGATGATTATTAAATGAGCTACACTAGTCACTGGAGAGAGTGCACCTGAGCCTAGAAACCCCTATTCCCATTCTGCTCTCCACAACATGGCACATGGAGCTGCTTGAGAAGACAGCCACATGTCCTGAAGTCCCCAAGCTGGGGCTGGCCTACAAGAAGAGGGCAGTGAGCAAGGACACGGGCTCTGCTCTGGCTGTGGAACAGAAAGGGTGATGGTTGCCATCAAAGGAACATCAAACTTCTCTATTCTTTTATGGCCTATGATAAGCAGGGTTCAAAGTTGTCCTGCCACAGCTCCCTGTTCATCACTGCAGTCACTGGGAGTCAGCGAGTTCCTGAAAAACACAGAGGCAGCCCCAGCCCCACATTCAGCTGGGGCAGAACCTGCTCCAGTTACCAGAAACATCTCTAAAACACAAATCTGATCGTTCCCAATGGCAGAGGACCCAGATTAATGAATAGGGCTCAATAACTGACTTCAGGCCCATTTTTTTTTCCCAAGCCTGACTTAGCAGGTTCACAGGACTGAAAGGGACGACCTGAGTCAGGAAAACCAGTCCCATAATTGCCAATAGCCAGACAACAGAAGCCTGATCTTAGCAGTCAAACCCTGCAGTTTTTATGAGTTATCCTTTTTCTCTTTGGTATCCCAGTCTCCCATACACTGGGAAAGTGGAAGCACAAATGGAAGAACTTAAGTTGCTTCTCTTGACCAAAAGTTTAAAATCACTGGAGTGAATCAACAGCCTTTTTTCATAGTGGAGCTGATGAAGCACCACCATCTCCCAAAACTGAAGTGGACTTAAAAAGGCTTTAAACTATTAGCAGCTGCCAATGCTCCCTGCATTTTGGTATCAAGGTTTGCCTGCTATTACATGGATCAGCTTCCTAGAAAGGGAATTACAGTGATAGAATCAGATCTGTGCACACCACCCTTTCTGAGTATGTGAGACCTTCCTGGTGCAAACTCACCTGAGAGATAAACAGTTTGGGAGTGGGAGAGGATGCAAAAAGCAGCAAAATCTCTCAATCCTTTCACATTTTTGGAGACAATCTTCTTCTCTGGAAAAGCCACAAGCAGTTGCCACCACTCACGTTCTCCCAAAACAGAACCACAACTCTCACATTACTTTTCTTGGTCTCCTCTGCCTTGATTCCTACCTTCCCACAAGAACCCAGCCTGGCAGACCTGCTCCTTTACAGCACCTTACCCAGACCACAGTGTGAGAGCTGAGCCATCCTTCAGCATAGACAGTGTTCTTCCATCAGATACAGGACTATTGCTAACCACAGCTGTTTCATCTACTTCCTCCCCTAGGTTACAATCCAGATAATAAACACATTACCGTAT